GATGATAGTCCTCATATAAGAGGGATGCTCATCGACCGCTTGATGACCGCATTCCTTCCAAATGGACCACATTATTGCCTTTAGTGGTATTTGTCTTAACCATACCATCCTAATAAATGCACATGTTAACCCAGCTGATACATGCATTGCATGATATCATATCTATGCCATTTGAACTTAACAATTATATGAAGTGTCTTTAACGCTAGCGTATTTTTAGCGAGTTAGTTTTCTACAGGATGGGGTCGCTAACCCCATGCTCAACCCTCCCCCTTCGGGCTTGGGACAGGCAGTAGCCCTAGAGGGGCTCCAGGTGGAGTGCCTTTATCACTTTCCACAAAACCCACCACATTCGTTATTTCTATGCGTATTAAAGTTAACGAATTGGGCTACCATGTTAGTTGCCTAAAATACACTGAACATAGTTAAGATAACAAATTCACTCCATTAAGATACTATATTACTGAACAGGTATAATAACTAAATTATCACCTAGTTGTTAGTCAAACAAGCATTTGAAATTAAAACCCTGGAGTCTACTACTAAAATTAACACCAAGTGAACAAATATTTCGGGGTGGCAGTTTCTAATATGATCAGACACCTCGGATCCGTTGATGCTACAAACGTTTGACATTTCCGAACCAGCTAAAACAATAATGCTCATTTGCTACTAGCCAATCTACAATCAACACTATACCCAGTTATTTATAATGGTTTCTGGATATCGTCATGATTGATAAAATTGGTGAAACTATTAGCAAGCTCGGTCAATAAAATGACCTATAATTGTCATTAACTAATGTTGTTTTCTCGTGATTATACTTAACTTTTGTAAATGACTTCAGCATGTTTCTCTATTAGTTTCTCATTTGGTAAACATCTTTGAACCTCGTCAGTATGAGTGGAGGTTTGGTGACAAGATCATTCACGACAATCATAAGTATGAGCAGTCGCGCAAATCCTCTAAAAACTGGAAACGTAACTGTCAAATTTCATTCACCACTGACAGAGGTTCATGTCGTCATCATAGACATGAATTTAGCGCTGTACTTCACTTGATTGCAACTTGCGTTTTTCCTGATAATCATATAGGCGGCACCTACAGCCCATCATCTAGTAAAGAACCATTTAGAAGGAATCATCGCACTACACTAATATTTATGTAATATAACTTACTTACTTACGCCCGTTACTCCTCGTGAAGGAACATAGGACGCTCATCAGCATTCTCCATCCAACCCTGTCCTAGGCAATCCTTTCCAGCTCCTTCCAGTTGTAATTCATCTTTTCCATATCTGCTTCTATTTCCCGAAGTGATGTGTTCTTTGGCCTTCCACTTTTCCGATTTCCTTCAGGATTCCAAGTTAGGGCGTGCCTCGTCATGTAGTTTGACGATTTGCGTGATGCATGCCCTATCCATTTCCATCATCGAATTTCTTCTACAGGTGGATGCTGGTTTGCTCTCTCCCACAGAAGGCTAATGCTGATGGTAACCGGCCAATGGATGTTCAGTATCTTGCATAGACAAATATTTATGAATACTTGTACTTTCCTGACTGTGGTTGTTGTAGTTCTCCAAGTTTCAGCTCCATACAGTAGAACTGCCTTGACGCTCGTACTGAAGATTCTCACTTTGATATTGGTTGGAAGTTGTTTTGAGTTCCATATGTTCTTCAATTGTAGGAATGCGACCATTGCTTTGCCAATCCTCGCCTTTACGTCTGCATCTGAACTTCCTTGTTCATCGATGATGCTTCTCAGGTGTGCGAAGGATTCCAAATCTTCCAGAGTTTCGCCATCAAGAGTGATTGGATTACTGTTCTCCGTGTTGAATTTGAGGACCTTGGTTTTCCCTTTGTGTATGCTGAGGCCTACTGATTCAGAGACTGCTGCTACACTGGGTGTCTTTATCTGCATTTGTTCATGTGTATGCGATAGGAGGGCCAGGTCATCTGAGAAGTCCAAATCATCTAATTGATTCTGAGCTGTCCATTGTATTCCGTGTTGTCCCTCAGATGTCGAGATCTTCATAATCCAGTAGACCACCAGAAGAAAGAGGAAGGGAGAGAGTAAACAGCCTTGTCTGACTCCGGTCCTTACTTGGAATGCATCTGTCAGCTGTCCTCCATGCACTACTTTGCACTGTAGTCCGTCGTATGAGTTCCGGATAATATTGACAGTCTTCTCAGGAACTCCGTAGTGTCGAAGAAGTTTCCATAATGTCCTCCTGTCTACACTGTCAAATGCCTTTTCATAATCGATGAAGTTGATGTACACTGACGAGTTCCACTCAACTGATTATTCGACGATGATCCGTAGTGTCGCAATTTGGTTTGTGCACGATCGATCCTTACGGAATCCAGCTTGTTGATCTCGAAGTTGGACGTCTACTGCATCTTTCATCCGGTTCAGCAACACTCTGTTGAAGACTTTCCCTGGTATTGACAGTAGCGTAATGCCTCTTTAGTTTTCACATTTGCTCAGGTCTACTTTCTTTGGAATCTTGATGAGATGTCCTTCTTTCCAGTCCATAGGCACTTGTTCCTCCACCTAAAACTTTCTGAATAGAAGGTGAAGCGTAGTTGATTTCAACATCTTATAGTCGTTCTATTTTAAGTAAGTCGATTTCTGCCAAACATGATACTAACAACTAACTTGTCTGCACTAACAACTGGTAAGTATGAATATAAATAGTCAGTTTACTCAAAATATTGAGTTCAGAGCATGGACACACTCAAGTTTAATGAGTTAATGTTATGTCTGCACGAAATTGGCATGATTATCACTATTTTGACGCACTAAATAAATGCTCGATGGCGATTCATATTTATCAGCAGTTTAAGTCACGGCCAAGCAATAATAGGATCGACAAAATATCACTCACAGCTAAATAAACCGTATTGAACTCAACAGATTAACTGCAACACTAGTTGAAATTTGTCCTCTCTGCGGTTGCACTTTTGCTCCTTCAGTTAACCCACTAATGAGAGTGAAACTGGAAATCAACTCATGCGGAGAGCATACCGGTATAAGCGTTGATTGACTTTATAATTTACATCAAAGACCATACCAATAAAAACTACGGTACACCATTGATCGTTTTTGTATTTTTAAACAAAAATAATTATACCGCCTACACGTCAACCTATTAACAAACGGTTAATACTATGCATCTTAATGTGACTTTTGAAAATATCTCTATAACCTCTCTTTGTTTAACGCTAAAATAATAATATTCATGTAGATTTTCACTTTGAGCGAGTTGAGAATTAAAAAAGGCATTTTGGAGTTGGTACTTGTAATTCACGATCACTTGCTACCGCGTTTTTTCATTCATCTTTCATTTTATGAGTACCTGGAAGGTTCTTATTATTCTTTTGATAAGCTCTGGCATGCAAAGGTCTCACCTTGATTCTGGTGAGAAAGTACTGTAGTGATATTCAATCCAACCGCACGACCCTCGAAGCAGAACGTGAGGTATTTGAGAAGCTTCGTACTCAGCATTTAACACAGAGAGAAAGCCATTAATCGTGAACTCATGAACAATTAATCAAAATGGCATGGCTTGGTCATGAAAACATGGTCACCCCAAGCAACTTCATATTCTTGCGTCAAATACATTACTCTCTTCCTAGATCAAATGTGTTCTTCAGAAACGATAAGCATCATATTGCTGATGGTCACGATCGGACGAACCCGTGTAGACAATGATGAGAGTTCTATGTAAGGTTTTATAGATTAGGTAGTCGCATAATGACAAACCTACCACTTTGGAATTTAGTCTATTATTATGGTAGAACTTAAATCGAATAAGACCATAATTCTACATGTCTTCTTTGTTATCCCTGGCTTTACAAGAGCTAGTCGGAGAGCTTTTTGAGGGTACAGATGGTCCTTCAGTTCTGGTATTACATGTATCATCCCTATTTACACATAATAGACTAAATTAATTTTTATACGGTCCTGGATACCTATTATTTGTCGGAGGAAAGTGCTGGTCAGTTGCATGCTTGATCAGAACAGGCTATAACCCGTAATTAAAAAATAAACCTCCACAAACGATAAAAACATTCATTTACCTGATCTAACGAGCAAGTTGTCACGCGGTGACAGATCCATGCAAAAAATAAGCATCAGGACTTCAACAATAACAAAAATTCAGTGAGTCAGCATGTATAACATCAAGGTCATGTTAACATACCTTTTATCGTGTATACATATCGGTTTCCCATTTCCCACCTGTGTAATAAGAAGCCCGTCTTCCATATGGGCGTTCGAAACTTCAGGAAAGATGTGAAAGTCAAAGAGTATTGGCGTGATAATTAGCCAGATTTGCTACAAGTGTATTGTACGTCATACATCTCAGTTCACCACCTACGGTTAAGTTTAACGCTCAAAAGAAGAGAGATTATCCTGAGAACTTCTTATCGTGCCGTGAGACCTAAGATTTCAGCGAAACTTGTTGTGGGTGTCATGGTATCAAATCCAATGTGTTGTTAGGTTCGTTAGAAAACTTCCTAACCGTCACTGATCACTTTAAAGTTCGTGGGAGTGTATAAGTGCAAGAAAGAGATCAGTAACTCAAATGAGAGTCCACAACAGGTTGAGGATGAGCTTACCAGTCACCTGCTGTAGATTGACCTGCAAAGCTGACACATTCAACCGATTACAAAGTACTGTGTTTATCACAAAATTAAAAAAATTGAACAAGAGAGGAAACGTTCAAACATGTCCAGCCACTATGTTTACAAAAAAGTTCTTTGTGAGTGTAATGAAACTACAGACACGACCGTCACCTTCAGAGAGAACGAATAAGAAAATCGAAGACTTTTTTCTGGATTACCCCATTAACCATTGTTTTCTACATTGAGTGAATAAAATAAACATACATTATATTCTATCGTAACCAAGACCCATCCCCTATGATCCAGACACTTGTGCAAGTCTGAAGGCCATAGAATTCCAAGCCAGATTTTGAAGATTTGCGCTACTTTACGGATGGAAAGTCCCCTAGTTGTGGGGGTCCACGGCCCTTTAAATCATGCTTGGTTATCAGAAAATGAACTGGGGATTTATAGAAGAACAACTGCTTCAAATGAATCCACTTGCAATGAGATACTCATCGAAAATGTTAAATGGGGCACGTCAATATACAACGATGAGTTTATGAGACGCCTTGCTAAAAGTTCCTTTGGTAGGTTAAGAATATTTTAAGCCTAATTCTGAATAGAGGTGTTTTCGGCACTTCAAAAATGTTCAGAGCAGAACTCGTAAGTTTGGTTGTTAAAACATTCTCCTTCAGATTTATCACCCACAGCATTCAATACAGAGCTGCCTTAGCTGTGTGTTCAAATGAAATTTTCACATTTCTAAGTAATTTAGCATATCTTATTCCTTTCAGAACTTTCAGCAGGTTCGGATGAGGCAAGGGCAGCTCATCTAATTGCCCAAGGTAATCTGATTCAGACATTAGAGCTCTTGTGGCATCTTGCGGAACTGATTTTTATCCAAGTATGTTCCTTTTATGTAAAAAAGGTATTCTCTTAATTGCCTTCATTTGCTGTTAGATTTATCTAACTTATTTATTTTTACTCTTTTGTGGCCTTCAGAGTAATTCTACACCACTTGGACTGCTGGCTAATAAATTTGCGGATTAGTTTCATATTATCATCTGATCCCCGATAATTGTTTATATATTTAATCACATATCAACACTTCTTAGCTGCACAAACGTTCACCAACCAGACCGCAAACGTGTCTATAGTTTAAAATAGAAGTGAATCTCAGGTGTTTCCTGAAATAATAGTCTTCCATTTACCTTAATTAATAATTCAACCTCATTTAGGGTGGTGTTTTCTCCCTCTGAATGCGAACTATTGCTTTACGACTGATCCGAACCATCTCATAGATTGGTCATAGGGAATGAAGTCGTTGAGTGTGTCGACCACTACACTTATCTTGTGAGCCTCATTGATGCTAACTGGTTAGTTCCTGACGAAATCTCAACCAGGATGTAGAGAGCTCTCTTGGTTTTTGTCAGTTCACATCACATGTGATACAAGCGAGATGTTAGTCAATCAAAGAAACGGTGAGTATTCTGTACATCGATTTGCATCGCATTCTTGTGTGGGTGTGAAACATGTACTATGAAAGTATGAGATATGTGTAGGGTGCGGGTGCTTTGTCATGGATACATTGTCAGACAACTGATTGAGGGATAGTGTGGTTAAACACAGGGTACTAGACAAAGGTAGGAAATCGATTGATGAGATTGTGAATGTCGGTTAATTGAGTCGGTTGGATTATATATTACGTATTTCTAACCAATATCTCAACGGGGAATTTCAGATTGCGTAAGAGTAGTTTGAACGAACTCAGTCAGTCAGTCAGTAACAACGTAGAACTTCGTACGTACGTACATCAGTTCGAGTTGCCACACCACATTAGCACAGAGATGCACTTGTCGATTCAAATCCCGTAGTGATAGAGGTAATAAGAGTATAAGTAGTAATCGGGAAGATTAGGGTTTGGAGATGTTATTTAAAGAGTATAATACAGTGAAAGAAATTTGGAAAGAGGAAAAAAGGGACATGAAGAATTCAGAAGATTAGAGTTTGGGAGAACACAGAGAGTGGATGCACCTGCGCCATTGCAAACGATTTTGAGCCATGTCATTCAGGGTCTCTAACCATCGGTTGCTATCATCTCGCGGTCCCCAACCAGGTAGTCTACACCTACCGACATGACTCAGTCCACTTGTCAGTGACTTCATGGACTTGTGCCATGTTTTGGTCTGGCCGCCCCTAGCTTTCTTCCAACCTACTCCTATACCACTGAACATCGCACGTCGAGGCAGTCGGTCGTTGGGCATACGTAACACGTGTCCAAGCCATCTCAACTGATGAAGTTTCACTATGTCATCAATGGATTTGCCATCCTTACCTAGTACCCGTTTCCTAACAACTGCATTACTTACTCAATGGTCCCAGGATATATGAGCAATGTTTCGAAGACGCCTATGATCAAATACTAGTAACCTACGAATATCCTCTACTCCTACTGGCCATGTTTCACTGCCATAAAGTAGGACGGAACGAACTGCTGCGCAGTAAACACGTCCTTTGGTTGATAGACGGATATCTCGCCTACGCCATAAATGACGCAAGTTGGCAAAAGCTAGTCGAGCCTTCTGTATCCGTGCTGAGATTTCGTCACACACCAAACCACAAGGGCTGATGAGACTTCCAAGTTAAGTGAAGCGGTCGACACACTCAACTACTTCACTCCCTATCACTAGTTCGGGTGTCGATGTAACCCAATCCTGAAGCAACATTTTGCATTTCGAGGGCGAGAATCGCATCCCGAACATGCTTGCATTGTTGCTTAGAGTGGTCAGAAGACTCTGCATTTTGTCAGCGTCTTCACCAAATAAAACTATGTCATCTGCATATTCTAAGTCAACAAGTGAACCTCCTGGTAGAAGTTCAACCCCTGTAAATTTAGATGAGGAGAGTGTTATCTCTAAAAGTACGTCAATGACAAAGTTGAACAAGAATGGGGAGAGTGGACAGCCCTGACGAACACCACTTGAGGTGATCAATTCTGATGACAGTTCACCATAAGCTCTCACTCTACCAGTTGTGTTCGAGTAGAGAGCCTTTATAAGGTTAATGTACTTCTTTGGTACTCCTTTCAGTGACAAACACTGCCATAGAACCTTACGATCAACGAGTCGAATGCCGCCTTAAGGTCGAGAAATGCTACCATTGTGGGGCGTCTGAATGTGTGTCTCTGTTCTAGAACCTGACGTAGTGTGAATATCTGATCGATACAACCACGTCCAGGTCGAAAACCAGCCTGGTTTTCTCTAGTCTGCTCTTCACGAGCTTTAGTTCGGCGTCGAAGTATTATTGAGGCTAATATTTTAGACACTATATTAGTCAAACTGATTCCTCTGTGATTGTCACAAGAGGACTTTTGTCCTTTCTTAAAACTGGCACAATCAGTGATCGAGACCAGTCAGATGGGATTACGTCCAGTTCCCAAATTCTACCTAAGACCTCAGTTAATCTCATTGCTAATACTGGACCACCATCCTTAAAAATCTCAGGAGTAAACCTGTCAGGGCCTGCTGCTCTCCCTCGTTTCAGATTTCCTATGGCTTTTTCAACTTCGTAAAGGGACGGAGGACTTACATTAACTTGCCATTCAGGTTGACTGGAGATCGTGGGAAACCGAAGTGTGGCTGAAGGCCAGTTGAACTGATCCCTAAAGTGTTCTGCCCATCGATCCAATCTCCGGGATTGAGAATGAATAATATGTCCATATTTCTCTGAGATTGTTTCGCTAACGGTCGGGTTCCTAATTCCGGTTTCCTTAACGAGTCTAAACAATTGTCTGCTATTACCTATTGCCGCTGCCTTTTCCATCTCTCTTGCTTTCGCTACCCACCACTGTTCGCGATCATTGCGTAGACTTCTTGTCAGCTTGCGCTTAAGCTGACTCCGCTCTTCATTATGTTCAGAGCCAGGTGGAATGAGTTTTCGAGCATCTATCAGTGCGATAGATGCTGCTGAGATCCAGTGTTGCTCCCTAACTTTACGGTTTACCTTACTAGCAGATATCACTGCTGTTTCCACAGCTTTTCGGATATCGTTCCATGCTGCCTCGGGGTGGGCATCACATACATGGCTGCCTAACTGTCTTCCTAGTTGTTCCTGAAATATATTCTTAGCTTGACTATCATTAAGTAGGCCCTAAGAGGTTTCCTTGCAGGATCTTTCCTACGTCCAGTAAGACGCAAGCAAATACGCGCTCGCACTAGAGCATGATCTGAATCTAGGCATGTGCTCCAGAATGAGCGACAGTCTTCTATCGAGCCCCTCCATCGGTGGCTGATAGCGATGTGATCTATTTGGGTCCAACGTTGGGACGAATTAGGGGGTCGCCATGTTAAAAGATGTTTTTCCTTATGCTTAAAGTTAGTATTTGCAAGGAACAGGCGGTTATCTGAGCATAGCTGCAACAGACGGTCGCCATTATCTGTTCTTTGAGCCACGACACCATAAGATCCACCTAGGTGTCTTTCCTTATCTCTTAGTTTACCTACTTGAGCATTAAAGTCACCGGCCACTATTACTACATCCGAGCGCTTAGCTTTTCGGAGAAGGTCCGAAAGCTTTCTGTAAAACTCATCTTTTACATCATCTGAGCTGCAGTCAGTGGGAGAATAGGCAGAGACGACGAAGAGGCAACGACGAGTGTCCCTATCTTTCCGGATTCTTACTGTTCCGTTCAGTCGGACAGCGCACAAACGACTGTTACTGGGATCCACTCTAAGAGAGCTAGTTCTGCCCTAGGACTCAATGCTATACCTACGCCGGCGAGGCCACGGGAAGCAGAATCAGGGCTTCCAGATACACGAAGCGTAAATCGAGTCGGTTCTTTATTTTGGCATGGTGAGGTCAAATGAATGACGCTACTCGGATCCTGTATGCGCGTTTCGGAGACGCAGCACACATCGATGGCGCGAGATTCTAAAGTCCTAGCTAAGGAAGCCTGCTGTCCTATTTGGCAAAGTGTTCGTACGTTAAAAGCTCCTACGTGTAGTTTAGAGCGTGGTTTCAGGAGACCAGGAATGGCGTTCCACGTACTCGAATCGTTTGCCCTAGCGGTGCGAGGTGATAAAGAGACGTGAGGAGGGTTAGTCGGGAGGATAAGAGAGGTATTAGGAGGTGTAGGAAGGATTTGAATGTGACCACCTTGGTCTCTTGTGCTGTTACGGGTATGAGGGCTGATGTCACTTCCCGGCTGCCCACACCGTGGAAGGGTATTTCTTGAGGAACCTGAAAAGGAAATTGGATTAGTGTTGGTCTTGACGACCTGGGAGCGTGACCGCAGAACCCAAGGGACAACTGCTTGAGGCCGGTCGCGCACGGCCTTTTTGTGGAAGGTTTTTGACGTGTTAGCTCCGTTCTTCAAGGGCCTTACCGCCGGAGACGGAAATCCGTGAGGTAAGGTGAGGTGTGCATTTTTAGGGTCGACCTTTTCTAACCCCACCCCTCCTTGTGGGAAGGCAGCATCGCTGTCATGCTGGTTGTCCGAGGGAAACACCTTACTGCTGTCACACCTCTCTACAGTCAGCAGTACGACTTCGCCCTCAGACCTTGAGTTGCTGCTTTTAGTCTTACCGTTCGCCAATCGACCTGCCTGGCATGGTAGAACCTGCAGGAACATATGTTCCAGCCAATATAGCTCGGTTGGGTCATCACGATAGGCAAGCCCGACCACCGCGTCAAGGTAGCAGCTTCGATCGGGTTTGAACGAACTGATGATTGACCAAGCCTAAACGCAACACCAGTTCATGAAATTTTCAACTTCTTTATTGATCTATATTAGTAGATGTTTATCGTCTACGACTTGCGGATGATCTAATATCTTTCACCTACTGATTTCCATTCTTTTTTTGAATTTTTCGGTTTTCCATGACCATAAATATCATTTTATGTTTCCGATGCGTGCCTCTCGTTGTCTAGAATGGTGGAAACTTGGAACTACATTTTCAAGTCCTAGATCGAAGTGTCCGTATTTGTTTATCAAAAACGAAATGTATCAAGTTCACTCCTGATTACAGGGGGACAATTCACTAGATCGGTAATCAGAAGCGTATAGAGTCGTGTAGCTCGGTAGTTATTACTACCTCTTACCCGTTTTACTCTGTATGGGTATTTTTACTAGACAAATGACTGAAGTGTTATCTATACTACATTATATATATATATATATATATATATATAAGCATGTTATTTTATTATACAAGCTCTAGCATATCATCTATTAAACTGTATTCTTTGTTTTTAAAATCCTCCATATCAGTGTGACATTAGCATCTTATTCAGAATGTAGCCTTCACTCATGTATGCTTGTATGTGTCTGTACCCCTATTAGTATACTCAGTGTTTGTATTTGAGATAAACGTGGCATTAGTCCTTGAATTCACGAACTTCTGGTCTGAGCCATGTTGGTAGATGCAGACTACTTGGTTGGGGTCCGCGTGACTATTGTAACCAATCGTTGGAGACTGTGGGTAACATGGCTCAGAATCGATCACAATAGTGTAGGTGTATACACTCTCTGTTTTCCCTTAAACTGTGGGATTAAAATTGATTTATCCCTTTATTTCTATGAACTAATTATTTCTTCCTGTATTATGTCCTTATACACAATCTTTTATTTATTACTACCATTGAAGTAACTACTTGTATGAATTTGGTGTTCATCTTGTGCTAATGAGGCATGGCAACTTGAACCGATGTATATATGTGCCTGGTCCCACGTTGGGACTGATTGATTTAAGCTAAATTGACACTTAATATGTAATATTTTTAATAGTTACACCTGTCTCCTCATAGTTTCGTCTGCCCTCCCTAAAGGAATGTTTGAAAAATATACATCCAAAACACTCGTGTCGGATGTTTATATCCGCGTCGTTAGTGGATGTATCGATTGAGCATATACATTGTAATAAGAATCTACTTCGTCTACATCACTAGTGGTTCAATCATACAAGAGTCAGACCGCAGGTGCTAAAACCCACTCAAATATGAGGTTGTATACGAACTTACATCGAACAATACACGTGGTTTTGTCCTATTTTATCACAAATGAGCATCAGGAGATAACACTTTGTCTTTAATGGATTTACCAGCCACCTAATCCGGTGTTCAGAATGGAACTAAGCCCCTCACGGCCATGCCTACAAAATTTAGTTCCCCTAATACGAAGCATACATGTAGATTTTTTGGGTGAATTTTTAATTTAAATGTGCAATATTTCTCTCCAAATCAACACAAGTGCATAATGTTCCTATGACTTTTTCTAACTTAAACCATTTATGAAATAGACAAATCGGTTGACTGAATTCATCCTTCATCAATTTGCACGCTGCTATGCGGTTGGTTTTACATTGTTATTTTTATATTTTGTCTGACGCATCTTAACTCTGGTACCTAGTATTAGATGTCAAACATTAATCCTAAATATTTGTAAGTAAGCTATTACTGTTTTATTACAGACTCAAAATTGACTGTTATTCAGTAAACGTATTTATTGAAAATCTAGTGTTTCCTCTCTTTTCAGTTTTTAATGTTTATGTATTTACTTACTGATTTCTTTGCCCGTATTATTTTTAATCATAAAGATTTTGTACAATTTCAGCCAAGCTATTAGTTAAAAATGTTACACCAGTAGATCTTCCGGTGGGATTTGTCAATAATCGTGCATGTGCCTAGTCCAGTTTCTTGATATGAAAAATCCTAGTATTAAGTCCTCAGCCTAGATATTCATATCTCTCATACCTAGATGTATCTCTCTGCAGCTTCTGTATATTGATAAGAATAAATCATAAGCGACTTAAAAAGCCAGTCATACCATGAGAAATTTCGTATGATATATCGTAGTACCTGTTGTTGGTACTACAGTTATGCAAATCAATTCTTTGGAAGATAAAAACATTTTACTTTTATTCCCATTATTTTAGGTATCTCCACCTGGATATTTAGCATTCAATCTCTGTAGTTGGTTTTACGTGCAGTCCCAGGAAGCGGCTAATCGCGCCCGAGAGATTTTGGACAGTGCAAACAGAGAGCAATCCGGTCATATTTTATTGCATGATAAACTGAATAATCTTAAATCATGGGAAACCAACAAGGACTTTTGGCCAACAGTTTTAAGCTTGGTTTTACAAGCTAGGTGTCAAGAAGCAGCAAGTTTGCTTGTCCTGCATTCTAATTCTAACGGTCGTGGTCTCCGAAGTCTACGTCAACTTCTAGCTTCTATGCCAGTTGCTTCTCATGCTGAAAAAGAGGGCAAGTGATTTTGCCTAAAACATTTTTTGTAACGTGTGCATTTTTGAGACACTCAGTAGTTAGTCTCACTACCTAAAGTAGATCTCAATAAAATATCTGTTCTCTATCTCTTTATGATCGTTCGTATTTTCGTAGTAGATACTCGATATTTCCTGTTGAAATTCGCTGTCTCAATAATTGTTACAAACTGTCCATCCTGCATACAATTACATCACACCTGTTTTTTTGGAAACTAGCGGTTAATTTAACATAAAACTTGGTGGTCACAGATCTTATATTGGCTTCCTGGACTATTTGTCAGAAAAGCCCAAATGACGACCAAGCATGTACAAGAGAAAGATTCCATCAAGTGTCACCGTTCACAAAATATGTTTTTTGCCTTTAAAGTATCCAACTGTTTTATTGAAGCTTTATTTGGACAGTAATAGCATCGTTATTCTAGAGAAGTAGGTGTAATAAAAGTCTAGGGAATCTGTATATGGAGATAATTTCTCATTATTATGCAAGCTCCCTTAAAAAATTTCAATAGTTTCTTCATAGCCGCCAACATTCTCTATAAGCGATAATCTAATATTCTTTTAAAACCATTTATAGCCATTGGTTTATTTATTTTATTACTCGGAAGTTCTGTCAATTTGAATCTCTAAATAAACCATTTAAATCCTGAATTGTTCGTCATTATAGTTGTCTTTTTAGTTCCTGGTAATAACTTTGATTCATACAGTAATAATCCAAATCAATATTCATTGGGTCTTTTATAGAATTGAATAGAACGATATCAAAGGCATCATATATCACTCAAAAGAAATATCTAGGTTGAATGTGATCTAAAAATACACACTTCTAGTAAGAATCCCGTATGATTAATTACTTGAAAGTGGTGATAACCATAGTGGGATTAGTTTGAATAGCATAGCATCTAAAATACTAGCGTCAATAATTATCGGGCGCCTAACAAAGACTCGTGAACTGCAAACACGAAAGAATCAGGGTGGCTTCAGACCCGGTCGTGGCTGCACCGATCACATATTCACCATTCGTCAGGTTTCAGAATACATGTATGCTTATCGGTGTCCGACAATGATGATTTTTCTTGACTTGAAAGTAGTATTTGACTCTGTAAACCGAGAGGTTCTGTGGCAGTGTCTGTCATTGGAAGGCGTACCTCAGAAGTACATAAACCTTGTGAAGGTTCTTTCCTCGAACACTACTAGTCGAGTGAGAGCTTATGGCGAACTGTCATCTGCTTTTGCAACGTCAAGCGGTGTCCGTGAAGTCTGTCCACTTTCTCAATTTTTTATTTAACTTCATAATAGACCTGCTGATGGAAATAACTTTCTCGTCGATTGAATTATTATTATTATTATTATCATCAGCTTTATTCAATATTATATTTTTGGTACAATATAGAATTCTCAGCGCAAAGTATTTCAACAAGTTTCCGTTCCTTTCTTCTTGGTCGGTCCTGGCGATAAATATTGAGTGATCGCCAGTTACATATTAGCAGTCCAGTAAATGAACATCTGAATAATGTGCATTCTTTCAGTTGTATATTGCCACCAACCACATTGTCTCTTATTGAGCTTTTTGTAACTTTGACAACAAAAGGTTGTACACTCTTCAGAAACGCAGCAGAATAGGTTATGCGATTAATAAACATAATGATATATTAAAACAAACAAAAACAGATAACTTGTTGAAATATCTAGATGGCAGGAACAGGTAGCCCAGACGCTCAAGCAGGCCGCCCTTTATAGAGCGGGCGTTGATCCCCCCAGGGGGTTCACTTATCGACTTTGAATACGCAGATGACATATTCCTGTTTGGTGAAGTCTCTGATAAAATTCAGAGTCTTTTAGTAGTACTGAGCAACAATGTCAGGCTGTTTGGAATGCGCTTCTCCCTCTCTAAATGCAAGTTGTTGCTCCAGGACTGGTCTGCGTCAACACCTGAACTATGGATAAGGAGTGAAATAGTCGAATGCGTCGACAACTTCACTTACCTTAGAAGTCTGATCAGCCCTAATGGGCTGGTATCGGACGAAATCTCAGCACGGATTCGAAAAGCTCGTTTGACTTTTGCCAACTCACGTCACCTTTGGCGAAGGCGAGATGTCCGTCTATCAATAAAAGGACGAGAGTACTGCACGGCAGTTCGTTCTGTTCTACTTTACGGCTGCGAAACGTGGCGATTAAGAGTTGAAGATACTCGTAAGCTACTAGTATTTGATCACAGATGTCTTAGAAATATTGCTGGAGTCTGCTGGGATCACTGGGTAAGTAATAGTGAGGTTAGACGCAGGTTATTAGGGAACGATGGTAAATCAGTTGATGAGGTTGTGAAGCTTCATGGACTGAGATGCTTGGGCCACGTGTTGGGGATGGTTGGAAGAAAGTTGGTGGTGGCCAAACCAAAACGTGGCACCAGTGTTCGAAGTCACTAACTTCTAGTCTGAGCCATGTTGGTAGATGCAGACTACTTGGTTGGGGTCCGCGTGACTATTGTAACCAATCGTTGGAAACTGTGGGTAACATGGCTCGGAATCGATTACAATGATGTAGGTGTATACACTCTTTGTCTTCCCTTAAATTGTGGAATTAAAATTACACTTCACCTTTCTTTCTACTTATTTCTTCCTGTATTATGTCCTTATACACAATCTTTCTTTTATTTATTACTACCATTGAAGTAACTACTTGTATGAATTTGGTGTTCATCTTGTTGTGCTAATGAGGTATGGCAACTTGGACCGATGCATATATATGCGTGGTCTTACGTTGCATCTGACGTAATGAAATTGGTTTATTTCTTAAAATTTCTCCCAGTGTGCCAAAATTGAATATTCTACATCTCGTTTTCCAAGAGTTTGTGGCAAATACGGAAATTAAAGTTCTATTGCACAAAATTTATTTCCTTAGTGGGGCTGATCAACATGACCACATCAGATATCTTTATGAATACCCGTGTAATTTCCACTCAAATCATTATGGATATCATAGGTTAAATAAACTTGTTCCGAATTCGTTTCTCGTTTTTAACTTCCCAATTCTTGTTGATTAATACATAAAGTGGATCTAGATCTGTCGCTCTTCAGTAGTAAGTTACTTTGTTTAGTGAGTAGTTCAGGAGCATTGTTACAATTGCACGATTACTGGAAGTAAAATTAGTGCTTCTCGGTGTAACTTGTTAATAAAATAAATAAATTAAGCATTTTCTACACATAAACGTTCTTCGTAATCCATCTTTTTATATTACAAAGATATTAGTTACAGTTTAATGGCTATCATTTAGCAAATGTTTAGGAAAATTTATTTATTGACTAGCTATAAATCAGCATCTATTTAACTGAAGATGTTTTATTGGTTGACAGTGTTTTCGATGTTTCTAACAGCATACTTTAAAAGGTGCTTCGAGAAATTTTTTATATTCTCTCATATATGATCAGTTTTGGGAAGTCTCTGTTCTCTATGTAAATATTTATTCCTATTTCCACCTTTTATGGATATAGACCCACTAAACGTCTCTGCACTTTCAACCATTTTTAGAATTATTTCTTCGTATATTTGGCGTGGGGACTGTTTGTCATGTCTTTTTTAGCGTAATACGTACTCACTTTTGATAACACGCATATGTAACACTAATTGTTTAGGTGAACTTTCACTGGTTGTTAATTCTTGCTTGTATCTCATCCATCAACGTGTTTATCTACTTGATAAGCTTTACTCAATGCTTGAAATCTTTCTTTTTATCGTGAACATGGATGTGAGAAACTTATGTTTTGTCTCTTTCACTTTCTGTTTTCATTAGTTACTTGTAATTCATTATCCTTAGTTTCTGATGTAAAGTTTTCAGAATGTGTTTTCTAAAAATCCTTGTCTTTTTTATTGGTGTTAGGTATGTGGACTGAGTATGGTGCTCAGTTTTCGCAGGCGTGGAATTATTGGCAGTCAGAGTGTGAACATCGACTGTCTTCGGGAGAATTCGACCATGTTGGTGGTGATCCAGCATCAGTTGACTACATAAAATTAATTGTAAATATCTTATCGGGGCGTACGTCTATTTGGGATGACCCGCGAATTCTGGACGTAACTAGAGGTTCACGTGGATGGTTTTTTCGTTTTGTATCATTTGTTTTCTACACTGACCAGTTGGTAAATATTGATGGTTTAAGCAGTGATCTTGATCGATGGCTTGCTTTAACGAAGAAAGGTAATATGGAACTAGGCTCTAACTTTGATCAGGTAAATAACGTTTAGGATTTTTCGCACGAATATAAACGTTTTTTATTGGTTACTTCAATATCTTTCCTTACTTATAAGTTAATCGCTCTGCTGTTTTGTTAAGCTATATTTTCAGTTAGTTCAATACTATGCTTGTTTATACTGTGTTTTTCTTGCGCGAAATTCAACGATAACACTTTGGACGCGCACGTTAGAATGGAATGCAAATAGATGTGAAATAGTTTTGTGCAAAGTAATTTGAGATCTTCAACAGCTCACTTCTACTTTCTAACGAATATTGGTTGAAAATCTACATTTTTTTATAACTTATATATTTTAGAATACTGTTGCTTAATCACCTCCGTTAACCAATAATTTACTCTTCTCAGTTTTAGTACAACTTTATTCTATTAATGATATTATTTTTATTTCCGTATTGTATGACATCTCTTAGCCACATACGATTGAGTCAAAATACATACTGTGTATCATATTGTGGATATACATTAGGTTACAGTGAAATTCAACACGCGCGTTTCATCTTATTCAGAACTTGCTAGCTGAATATCCCCCTCCATTTCGATCTTTAGTCCTCATTGAGATCAACACTGAAACACAAGTATATGCAACTAACAAGATTTAAATTAAGACGAAAAATGCTCGTTTTATTTCATTGTTACACATTTTCTAAAATATGATCAACTTATAGTTACAGGCTAAATAAAAAAGCATTTGGGAGGCATTATTTCTTAATAGGAAGACTAGAAAACCCTCTTAACTTATGAATACTGTATAAAGGCGCGATCTCAGTACCGTTACAGGTTAATTATCCAGTTACAAACATTCTGCTTTTCAAAATCAGCGAAAATTAGGACTAGCAAAAAACAATTGGAATCCGTTTGGTTTCATTAGGTTCTATTTACAACCCAATTAACAGAATATGACAAAGTTTAATGTTTTTTTAAAAATTCTCAGAAAATTAGTTAGGGGCAAATTGAGCGAGTATCAGGGCAGTTATGTATTCACAAAAGCCTTATGTTTGTCTTAGATACCTTTTTTAGTTTTATAAAATATATTACATCCCCTATCTAATTTCTTATTTAAGTACTACATAATGTAAACAGATAACGAGGATGTGTTGTATTAAAAGCGTTTATAAGCTTTGTTGTAGGTGTGAACTGTTTGCCATTCAGTTATGTTTGTTCAGCTACCCCTTACATAGTGTTGTATCTCAAAGCCGTTAACACAAACCTAAACGTGATTACTGAGCTGTAATAACTTTAATCTACTTACATAAAATAAAAAAGATTGCTGTTTCACAATTGCAAAATATAACGATTTCAAAATTGTACTACTTAGCTGTTAATGGTTTTACGTCCTTTAAAATGGACTATTTAAGTGCTAACATCTCATAATCATTATCATTAGTGTTAACTCGAAGTATTCACTGGTGTTTAATGTCATTGAACGTTTCAGAAACAAACTAGCTAGCTCGGAAAATTTAACCTTATTATAAGAATTTACTCATGAAAAAACATTTTCTGTCACTTGGATTTTTTCAGAAGCTTTTAATTGTCCCTGTTATTAATATTTTTATTGTTTACTTTTTACCTCAGTCCGTCGATGCTTTAATCACAAGCATTTTTCACGTGGATCTATTTTCATTCGTTCGTATAGCAAGTGAAAAATTAAGTAATTGGTGGTTTATTGCACATTTTACGAATCTTTTAAATCACATATATCCTGGTGTACTTAATGATCTTCAGCTTACACATAAACAAGACGAGTTATCTTTAGAATCTTGTCCAAAAACAGTAAATTGTAAGTAACATTTTCTTAATTAATTAGTTAGTTTTGTTTCATAAGTTATTGGTTTAAACATTATCTTCATAAGACCACTACTAAATAAAACAAATGTTTAAATGTTGTTTTTTTATCAGTTATTCTGGTAATGGCTTGCTATGAAGTATTATTAGCCAGGAACTATCATCTGAGGTTCCAGTTTTCTCAACAATTTTATCGTATTTATAGGTAATGACATGTAAATGCTAAATGGTGCTACATATTCGGCTCAACAACTAAGAGTCTGTGTGAAATTATGTGACAAATAGTATAATTCATGTGCACATAAATCCATTATCTCTTATCTCTTGAATGGAAACTAACAGTGCACACGTTTAGTAGAATCAAATTTTTAAAATCGCGATGGCATTTTAAAATTAAAAAAAGTTTATTATGAAAATACTGCATTTGGAAACCCTCAAATGTGGTTAAAGTAAAGTACTATATGGATCAGTTACCTCTAATCTGAAATATATAATATACTTGGGGCATTTAGGCTCAGACTATTCCCTTGATTTCCTATCTAATATCTAATCAAGCATTCATAGAAGTTTATGCACAAACCTACCTATTATTGCAGAAACTATAAACATCCATAACACCCGTTTACATTATGGTATAAACACTTTCGTTCTTTTTATTTACTACATGTGCAGATAAATCTAATGCTAAGTTTAATGAATCATTGTATCAACCTGTAGACAGCTCTTCATTGGTTGAATTTTTTCTTCTTGGTTATGTCGAATCATTGGCTTCTGAAACAAGTCTTTTATCTATTGCACTTGGATATTTGGATCACTGTAAATCTGGGCGTACTCGTCAATCTACCTTATTATTGAGACATGCTGTGCCAATTTCAACTAGAGCTACAAACTGGGTAAGTTGATTAGACATCTTTAATTTGATGACTATGTTAATGAATTTCCTTAGCTTGTTGTCCTTTTTATGAGAATTAGTTACTGTGTAATATACTAAGTGATTTAATCTATATTTATAATCCTTACCTATGAATCCTCACTGCCATTATTTATTAGTAGCCACGAAGTCATGTTGTTTAATAGATGAATCTCACAGTCCCTTTGATTTTCCCGTCTAAAATAAGCGATCGTAACAGTTGTCTCAAAGCAGGAGGAATGATAGCCCGATGTGTAAACAATACACAAGACTAAAATGTCGAAATCAAATGAAATTAAAAGCTGAGCAAGTAACTCACCTTATACGTTTATCTGCTATCCTAACATGTGTAATATATTTTATGGGATTTTTGTATAATAATATATGTTTGAGTCTGGTTTTATGGCTTAGTAGTGAAAACACTGAATTTTAATTTGTATATTCAAATTCCGATCCACCATACTCCCATTTACTTTATTACCTATAATCAGGCATGAATAATTTATTACGCTAGTGACATTTCTTACACGTCCAATACAATTATATTATATGATTTGTGTAAATTGGTTGTAAAAATTATGTGATATACGAGTCCCTGTGTGCTCACGAATGTAGAACATGTATCTCATGTAGTTTGATTTCTATTCAGAAAACCAATGGTTTACTCATTAAATAGGCGTATAATCCTTTCTTTAACAGGCAAAACTAATTAAGCTAAGAAAAAAAACTAATTAACACTTCAGAAAATGTTGAAAATCATTTACTGAAACTCAGTTGCAACCTGAATTTTTCAGAAGTAATATCAACCATGTAGTTGACCAATATATTTTTGGTTTTTTTTATTTGACATGTCATCTAAATCGAAATACAATCTATTGTGATGTTATATTATTTATCCTAAGTGTTATATTCTATTCAGTAATTGAATACTAACTGGATTACTGAATAATAAGTAATATATACTTCAGATTAGTAATCTCAATAATTAGTTTTCCATAAGAATACAGTTTTAAATAGTTTCACCTATTTTCACTTATTTAAAATGAATTAGCTAATTAATTAATTATTTGTAACGATTTATAATTTTTATTTATTTCATTTTACCAGTTTATTAGTCAAGCCAAAGTTAGAGGATTATATTCAACTGCTGAAGAATTAGCCAAATTAAATTGTCGTAGATTTACATGTTTATCATTACAATCACAAGAAGGTTCTATAATTAATTCATCAAATTATTCTCCAATATGTATCTCTATAGGTTGGGCTTTAATGGCACGTGATTATTCCATGATTAATCGATTAGCTGAACTCTCTCTTGCTAGAGATAATGGATTTATGCATAAGGACACTTTAAATGAAACAATAACTTCGCATGCTTCTACAGAAGTTGCAGAATTGGCTGCTATAATATTAGGTTTTTGTCGAGGATCATCATTTGACGAACCGTCTAATAATAATAAAGTTAATGAAGTGAATCATCTTCAATTATCACCTGAATTAGCTTTTTTAATTCGTTATGCTGAACTTCAACAAAGTTTTAATGATGGTGATTGTGAAGGCGCAGTTGATCGAATTATTGATTTACTAGTTACTAGTCCTGGGAACTCACTTATTACCACCAATTCAACTGGACAAGATTGTACAAATTCTTCGACTACAGGTTTTGGTTTACGTATACCAACTCGTCTTAAAATAAGACTTCTTGCTGAAGTAAGACACTTATTGGGTCGAAATTGTCTACGTCGAGATCAAGTTGAAGTGCTTATCACTGCTTTGATTGAATTAAGAGCAGATTTGGATTTAAATCCTAATAACATGTCCACAAATAGTGATATACATTCATTACTAACAAAAATTCATATGTCTCTTGCTAAAGAGCTAGCATCGACATTCTTTGCTACCTCTAATACCATTCCTATATCTCTGTCTTTATCACCCAATAGTATGGTTGATACAAATTGGCATTAAGCCTGTTTCCTTATTTACCATGTTGTGTAAACTTTTTAAGCAGTAAATTTTGTTGAAATATGGTTCATTTATGATCCCATGTTTTGTGTATATGTTTTTGTTGCTATTTTGTATGGAAAGTTTTGAATTTTCTATTTTCTGTCCTATCTACACTTTAAGAACAAACATTTGATTTTTCCCGTTTTATTAGTTCATCATGATAATTTGTCTGGTGTTGCTGTATGAAGTGATTTAGTTTGTATACTCACCTTCATGATCTCTTTGCAATTCATAGGGATCGAATCCATTTAAGTTTGAATAAGTAATTTTTGATAACTCTCACGGAATAAAGAGTATTGTCTACAGCCTCGTACGTTGACAGGTACATAAAGTTTGTTCATTGTTATCCTATATTTATGTATATATTAAAAAGAACAAACAAAATTGTGCTATTCCATTTCAATTGTTCCTGAGTTGATAGTAAATATGGATGGGTCGTATCGCTCTTTATTCATTTTCATCTAATTTCCACTAACCGTTTCCTTTTGTTCCAGAGGATCTGAGGTTATAGCAACCATACTATGAAGCGAAAGACACTAAGTTTGAATCTCCGTGTGAACATCAACACGGATGCAGGTTCGTTCATCTGGCAAGTCCCAAATAGGACAAAACACGGGTCCCGGACCCCATTGCTAGTCACCATCTAACTCCTTATGACTTAGTGGCGATATCTAAGCAATTCTTACAGAATTGAAATATTCTAAAAGTGACTGATCAGTTGCAGTCTATAACATCAACAGGATGATCAAAGCAACCAATACAAATCAATTAAGATAATAGTCTGTTAAAAAGGTTTCAGATGAATGGTAACTTATTCTTGAAATTGAACAAAGCCTAATGATTTGTGCTGCACATTAAAACAAGTTTATTGAGTATTTACAGTCAGTAGATGTATATAAGAATGAGTCACCTAAAAAATTTTATGAAAGTGACCATAAGTCATGATTTGACTGTTCATTCTTAGTGTGCAATAATTTTCGACTTTAGCTGAATTGCTTACTTACTTTCAACAAATCGATCGCAAGACAATCAGCTCCCACTTTGAGTGGAGTTCAGCAATGACCATTTCCCAATGACATGCTTTCGTTTGTCACAAAATAATTGTCGACAATCCTACTTAGTTTCGGCGATCTCAGAATTGGTTCAGAAAAATATGTTTTGTTTTCATTACTTCAATTTTCGATGCAAATTATGCTAGTGTGAATAGATGGCATCTTATTTTCTCCAATTCCTAAACTCCCTAGTACGGCCGAAGGTCGGAAGAGTTCGTACTCCTTGAAATGCTTTATCCATGTGCATTCAGCCACTGCCGGGTAGGTCCTACACACTACGTTCTCTCGGCATGGATGTATATTGAATTGAAAGGACGAAAAGCGAATGTCCACTGCTTAGATCGGGTTGGTGGGTAAAGAGAATCCACCTAGAGTAAAAAAGGCGGGTTGGAAATCAGTGGTGCACATGGCCTTCAGTATCCTGAGGTATCAAATAGGGTATGAACCTATTTTGGTTGTCGGGTATCATGTGGTCGCCTCTCCTAACATCGTTCCGCTCTCTTGTGGATTAGACGTCAAAGCATGGTGAGTGGCCCCCTAAGAAAGCCACATGCTTTGATCTGGATATCTGGGCTGTATCCCAGCCCAAACAAACTGAGTGATGATTATGACTGGGGAAAACCGCTCTCTCTTCAATCCACGTTTTTACAAATTATATTCATAATTATTTGCTAACATTCATTTTTATTTTACACCATGTCACTTGTTTATTTCTTTTCTCATTGTATGTATTGTATTTTCCACCTTATACAGAACCTCGCTTGTAGTAGAAATCATGTCCTCTCTAAACGGTCTCAAGTCACTGATTAGTCCCAAGTTGAGTGCTACCACAGTATAAGAATTCCGAATTAGTCTTAAACCATGTATGCTATTCAAATTGGTCTCCCTCAACGTTCGCACGCTAATTCAGGTCAGACAACAGATCGGGTTAACTGTCTTTAGAAAGTACTAGCACCAACATCTGTTGTTTATCTGAAACCCCCATTTAAGACTAGTGAAGTACTACAAATCGTTTCAGCATGTCACTTTGAAAAACTTGTTCATTCATCGTAACAACTAACCCTTAGTATCATTGCGTATCTAGGTTCATAAAGCAGTTCAAAACTAATTTAAAAAAACAGTTCTCAAATACACTAGGGAGAAGGAAGTTTTAAGCGTAACGTCAATATCCCATTTGATACCCATTTTTATACTATTCAAGTTTATAACTGGAGTTCTGGCGGTGTTTTTGTATTTAAATACACAGCGGTCCTTTGCTTATGTAAAGTCACCTGTGTTGTAGTATTTCTTTTAAACTAATCTCACCTCAAACTAACAACATTCAGTTGATTTTCCACAGTTAATATTAACTCTTTCAACGACTTTTCGACATCCTATACAAGGGTTGATAGTCTAACTTTTAGGCTAGCTTCTCGCCATATTTCACAACTTGAATTACGGAAGACAAATAACTTCTGCAGTCCACATAAAACTTGGTCTGTTAACATTGTCTGTTTTTGTTTAGACTAGTGAGTAAACAATATCCTGAACTAGCAAAAACAATTTTTGAAAAAGTAGAATGCTAGTTCATATACTTTCTAATACGCCAAACATGACACTAAACGCACAGACGAAATGTCACTGTTTATCTAGAAAGCAGGTAAGGATGATGAGCTGTAGATAAGACAGATCAGGATATAGGTCCAGTTTGATATGACTGAGTGGATTTAACTGTATAATAGAAGTGTATTTTTAATGGTAACATACAAAAATTCAGTGACTACTTACAGAACAGCATATCTCATTTAGGCGCAGAATTTATAACTTGACTTGTGAATGCAAAAAGAAAGAATGTCACTGTACATAAATTTAAATTTGATTTCATCTTGAAAAGGCGATTAAATTGTTTGTGCCGATTGATTTAACGACAGGATAGGTATTCCGATAGGGATCTTCCGTCCACGTAGCATCGTGAGTAAAATCTGAGTAAATTTTTCACTTCAATGGTCTAAATTGTTTTTGAATGAGATCACGAACCAATTGTTGATAGACAACCATTGAAAACCTGGAAGCATTGGACGATCGTTTCCTCCTATCGTGCCATTACTCGGCATTCACGATCCCGCTTGTGGGATTTGAACCCAGGCCCTTCAGTCTCGCTCAGGAACGCTTAACCTCTAGACCCACAATAGGACGAAACGACCGTCTAGTGTATCCAGGCTTTCAATGGTGGTTTAACATCATTCGGTTCACGATCTCAATCAAAGCTTAATAATCTCCACAACCCCAAACTGATAATGATTTAAACTATGAACGGCGGCCTGTTCGAATTGTGAAGATCTCTACATCGGAGGGGGAAACACGAAATGCAATGGACAGCTGACATACGACAAGAAGATTTGGACTTGGTAGATGACCTAGCTGTTCTATCCCATACACACGAACAAATGCAGGTGAAAACAGTCAGTGTAGCAGCAGTCTCTGCAGCAGTAGACCTCAACATACAAAAGGACAAAAGCAAGATCCTCAAATACAACATGGGGAACACTAATTCAGTCAGTCTTGGTAGAGAAGCTTTGGGAGAGGTCGAAACTTCCACACAACTAGACAGCATCATCGACGAGCAAGAAGGATCTGATGCAGATGTGAAGTCAAGGATTAACAAAGCGATGACAGTATTCCCACGATTGAGGAACATATGGGACTCAAAATAACTGTCAGCAAGCCAATATCAAAGTCGGGTTCTTCAATACGAACGTCAAGACAATTCTACTGTATGGAGCTGAGACTTGAAGAGTTACTACAAACATCATCAAAAGTGTACGAGTATTCATAAACAGATCTCTACGCACGATACTGAATGTCAGTTGGTCGGGTATCATCAGCAACATACTACTGTGGAAGAGAATAAACGCTCTTCCAGCTGAAGAGGAAATTAGGAAAAGAGTGTGTGAGTGGATAGGACATACATTGTGAACATCATCAAAATACATCATGAGGCAAGTGCTAGATTGAAATCCTTAAGAGAAACGGAAAAGAGGAAGACTAAACAACACACTGTGTCGAGAATTAGAAGCAGATATGAAAAAGATTGCCCAGGACAAAGTTGGATGGGGAATACTTGTAGGAGGCTTATGCTCCTCCACTAGAGGTAACAGACGTAAGTAGTAATGTCTGTATGTACTGATGAACTATCACAGAAGTGTTACATTTGAGTTCCATACTAAATTCTGGAGAACCAGAACAAAAGCAATACAGTAAGAACATTTTCCGTTTTATCTATCCTCTTAAAAAACAAGATAAATAGTAATGCAAAAGTTCTCTGTATATATATATATATATATATATATATATATATATATATATATATATATATATATATATATATATATATATATATATATATATATATATATATATATGGGAAAATAATTGTAGCAACTTAGCTGATAGAAAACCCTAATTATTTAGTACTTGTGAAAGATAATGACTATTGAAACCATTTTAAAAAATATCTGTCGGTTGAAAACGTAACATCTCAAACATGTAATCATGCCGGTATTTGTTTCTCATATGAATCACATACTGGAAAAGTTAATTTAACTGAACTGGAGTAAAAGTATATAAAAGTTTACCTTTGAAATAAGTTTTGTTACGCTACTTGAAAGTAATTCAAATATATTTACGAAATTTAGAAATACAATTCCTCATTCGTTAACCAACGAATCTCAGGTACATCCATCTGACTGGTCCCAAATAGGACGAAACACGCGTCCTGGATTCCATTGCTAGCCACTATCCGTCTTTGTTTAAGAATCTCACTGTTGTTTAAAAATTATTAAATACTTTTTGGTTAGAAAGATCAAAAAATTCTAATAAGTTGACGTTTCTGCGTAAATTTTAAGTGATTATGATTCATTCTGGGAAAAATGCTTCCAATTAATTTCTTAGAAATCTGTTTTCTTCATTTATATGAACTCGGGTCTAAATTCGAATGAATAGCTTCACAGTAGTTCGGCTCCGAGTTAACTTAACATTAAATAGGAAATATTATATTTGTAAAATCTCAACAGCTGTATTTTAAGTAAATCCAACTTTCCGTTCAGCTAACCTTCAGACCAATAAACTGTTACCTGACGGTGTGTAGTTTTATTCTCTTCGTGACATTGCGCACCCATCTTCAGTTGTTTTCAGTAGGTTGAACTGCACCGGTCGAGACTTTTCACTGGAACCTCTAAACCTTTTTTCTCGAAGCTAATCACCTGTGAGCATATAATAATTATTAGTGTCAGTATTTACGGAGATCATTGATCCGTAATCTCAATAACATTCAACAAATTCCACAGATCTAAATACTGATATTTACTTTAGTTACTTTTTAAATGTTTCAGAGTTTTAATGAAGTTTTCAGCCCCATTAAATGCACTAAGTATGAAAAGATATTTTCATGGAGCTCGAATTAAAGTATAAAAATAACCACATTAAAAGCTTTAAAATATAATTCAATAAATAAATCTTTAATAATCAGCTAAAAATCTCCACTTCATTACTGAATGAATTTTGTGTTCAGAATAAATTGATTCAAAGTATTTTCTGGGTGATGCTTGGAAATATTCCTGAACAAATAAATATACTGTTTGTATTATTTATACAATTTATCGATTTTGAAAATAATGTACTTACTATGAGGACTGGAAGTTAAATGTCCCATCCCTTGTGCAGTTTATTACCTTCATTAAAGTAGCAATTGATAATAGCATTAAAAGATATCACTCCAATGTTATATTGTTTTATAATGATTCAATCTAGTTAATTCATAAAGAATATTCATTTGTAGATTGAAATATTTTGATCTTATTTTGATTTCTTCTGAAAGATATCTGCAATTGTCATTTTATGTTGAAATCAATCCATCACTTTAGTGATTTAAAGTAAATAAATGTGTTATTATTTATTTAGCCTGTGTGTGGGTTGTGATACTGCCCAGGTGCCCAAACCGAATCTGGTGTTTTTCTTAGTGTGCCACACCCGGAGCCTTCGACCTAAAGGCAGTGGGGCAACGTCAGGAGATGCAGTCACATGATAGCCGGTGACCAATAACTGGTTTATACACCATTTGTTCCCTTAGGGTCCTGGAGCCCATGTGAATCATTGGTTTGGAATCAGGATTTCCCAACTCCCCTAGGTGGATCCTCCATATACATCAACCTGATTAAAGCGCCGGACATTCACTCTTCGTCCTCTCATTTTCATAAAAAATGCCCTGTGCCTCTAGAAGGCAGGGAGTAGGACTTCGCTAACAGTGGCTGTGCATATGTAGTCATGTGAGACCATGTCGAGAGGGAGACCTAACTCTCCCTACCCTGGACCACACCAGGGCATTTGGGGGCAAACCAAGTGTACATCGGCCGGGGATCGAACCCAAACCGCCCGCGCGGCAGGTGAGTATCCTACCATTGAACCACCGACTAATTACTATTTTATTTCTGTAATTACGCTTTTTATTCTAATAAATACTAAATTTCTTCCTTTTTGTAGTGAATCTTCAAATTACCTAAAGAAAACACGGACATTAGATTTTTAATTTCTATTATATGTTCAAAATAAACTGAAGTGAAATTTATAAACTAAAATCTGATCTGGTTTGTAAATTATTTATTATGGTAATATGCATTTCTTTATGATCTAAATTATTAGCCCACTACAATTATGATATTGATCATATTGTTTTTATTAAGGAATACCAATCAAATTTAGTTATTAAATAAAGTTTTCTTAACTGTCTGCAAAAAAAATTATCATAATTATTATATTGCAATGATTATACTTTAAAGAATGCGAAACTTCACTTCTTATTTACTTCTCTCTAATACCTTTGTATATATGGTCATTTTTGAGCACAAAAAAGGCGGCAGATTCAAAAAGTGAATATGGGTTATACTGTGCATGACACGTACTATTTATACATACATATATATGACCACTGAACATTAAAAAAACAATGTTATATAATAAAAACACACACTAATCAATTATTTTCAGTGTGCACTGACGTCACAACATAATTACAGATTACTGAATCTTGTATAGTTCGTACACTAAATTGTATGTAGGTATAGATATGGTCAATTTTAATGTGAATATAAGAAGTATGTGTATAGTGAATTCATCGAATAAATATCAATTTTTGTTGTAATATACTTTCAATTATTATCAATAACTGAAAAGTTTAATATCAATATTGATTACATAATGTTACAAAGTAAATTTTGTAAATAATATTTTTATTTGTAAAATTTACCTTTAAAACTGATCCATAAATTATCATTGCACTACTGAGGAGTCCTATACTAGGACGAAACGGCCGTCCAATACTTACAGGTTTTCCATGGTAGTCTAGCTTCAATTGATTCATGATCTCAACTATTGAAATTATTATTAATTTATTAAATCATTGTTTGAATAATATTCATCTAATTATGATTGATTAAAGACATTTTAATTTGAAAATTTCCATATGTTAATATGTATTATATAAGTAGTATGAATTAATTATCTTTCATTATCAATCTCTTTTGTTTAGATTAAAATGAACTCAAAATAATGTAAGTATTTTTACGTTTGATAACAGCAAATATATAAAATAGAATAAAAATAATTTGAAAAATATTATAAAATAAGGAATAAAGTTTGCTAACATAAAATAGTCTTTCTCTTCCCTGAAATAATTATGTAATAAATCACATTTTCAATTAATACATTTTATAAATTTACAAATAATCCACACATCAGATTGTTTAATATTCATTAGATGTTATACAAAAATTGTGTAATTGTATGGTGAATCAAAGTAATCTATGAGGAAAAACATGTTATTGAAAGTCATAGCTCAGGGGAATCAATGATGTTCAATGGTGCTAATGTGATGTTTGCTACTTATATGGACATAAGTAGTAAATGGTGTTAGTCGTGAACAGAAGGTCTGGCAGCAGAGAGACAAGAGGATCGAACAGTAAAGAATGGGAACAGAATGCAATTTGTATGAAAATGCAGGAACAATGAAGTCTGAGTTATTTTGAGACAATCGATGGACATTTTGCAAATTAAGCATTTACTTTATGATTGTTAGATTTTATTAACAAGTCCTGTAATTTTGTGTTCAATACATTCGGTTGTCCCCACCCGTGTTCTGTTCACTACACTAACTGTAAACGTCTCTTTGATATAGATACCATGAAATCTTACAAGATGATTAATAATCAACTGAGTTCTGGTTTTCTGAAATTCAGTAAGTTTAAAGCTATGAAATACTTTTAACCTGATTTATAAATCAAGAAGGAAATAATTGTCAGTCATTCTATAGCATAGTGACATGAACCATAATTATTTATAATATACTGCTCAGTACTTTCTCTCTTTGGATGATAATATTTTCGACATTCTGCTAACATTTTCGTTTGCAAACTTTGGTTTTGCATTTATTCCTGAGAAAGCATCGGCTTGACCAGAACTTGTCATGCATTTATACTTCATTTTAAGACCATAAACAAGTAATATGATTACCCAACGTTGCAAACGATTGTCGATACACACTGGGATGACAGACTTTGATACAAAAATAGAAAAAAAGGGGTTTGTGATCAGTGAACAATTTAAATAGACGCCTATAAATCACTTTATGAAATTTCCTGATGGTGAAAATCAAAGCCAATCCTTCCTTTTCCATTTA